GAGATCATGACCTGAGCCAAAGTCGGATACCCAACTGACTGAGCTACCCAGGTGCCCCTGGTCTAGTTTCATTCTTTTGCAAATTACTGTCTAGTTTTCCCAGCATCATTTGTTGAAGAGACTGTTTTTTATCCATTGGTTATTCTTCCCAACTTTGTCAAAGATTATTTGATCATATAGTTCTGGGTTCATTTCTGGGTTTCCTATAGTTCTGGGTTCATTTCTGGGTTTCCTATTCTGTTCCATTGATCTGTGTGTCTCTTTTTTGCCAGTAATGTAGTTTCTTGAACACTACAGCTTTGTAATATAACTTGAAGTCTGGAATTGTCATGTCTCCAGGTTTGCTTTTCTTTTCAAGATTGCTTTGGCTATGTGGGGTCTTTTGTGATTCCATTCAAATTTTAGGACTGTTCTAGCTCTGTGAAAAATACTGTAGTATTTTTTTAGAGATTACATTAAATGTGTAGATTGCTTTGAGTAATGTAGACATTTTAACAATATTTGTCCTTCCAATTCATGAGCATGGAACGCTTTTCCATTTCTTTGTGTCCTCTTTAATTTCTTTCACCAGTATTCTATAGTTTTTTAGAGTGCAGATCTTTTACCTCTTTCATTAGGTTCATTCCTAGGTATCTTATGGTTTTGGTGCAATTGGAAATGGGATCAATTTATTGATTTCTCTTTTCACTTCTTCATTATTGGTATATAGAAATGTAACAGATTGCTGTACACTCATTTTGTATCTTGTGACTCTACTGAACTTGTTTATGAGTTTTAGTAAGTTTTTTTGTGGAGTCTTTTGGGTTTTCTATATATGGTATCATGCCATCTACAAATAGTGAAAGTTTTATTCCTTCTGGCAAGGAAGAATTTGGATGCTTTGTGTTTCTTCTTCTTTTTTTTTTCTCTGATTGCTGTGGATCAGACTTCCAGTACTATGTTAAATCAAAATGGTGAGAGTGGATTTTCCTGTCTTGTTAGGAAGCTCTCAGTTTTTCCGCAATAAAGATGATATTAGCTGTGTATTTGTCATATATGACCTTAATTATATTGTGGTTTGCTCCCTCTAATCTTACTTTCTGGAGGGTTTTTATTATGAATGGATATTGTACTTTGTCAAATGCTTTTTCTGCGTCTTTTGAAATGATTGTAATGTTTTTGTCCTTTCTTTTAATAATGCTATGTATCATGTTGATTGATTTATGAATATTTAACCACTGTTTTCACCCAAGAATAAATCCCAATTGGTCATGGTGAATGATAGTTTTTTTTAAGATTTTATTTTTACATAATTTCTACACCCACTGTGGGGCTTGAACTTACAACCCCAAGATTAGATGCATGCTCTACGATTGAGCCATCCAGACAACCTTGATTTTTTTTAAATCTATTGTGGATTAATTTTGCTAATATTCTGTTAAGAATTTTTGCACCTGTATTCATCAGGGATATTGGCCTGTAGTTCTCTTTTTGTGGTGTCTGTCTGGTGTTGGTATCAGGGATATTGGCCTGTAGTTCTCTTTTTGTGGTGTCTCTCTGGTGTTGGTATCAGGGTAATGCTCACTAATAGAATGAATTTGGAAGTTTTCCTTCTTTTTTCTAATTCTTAGAATAATTTGAGAAGAATATATATTAACTCTTATTTAAAGGTTTGGTAGAACTCTGCGAACCCATCTGGTCCTGAACTTTTGTTTGTTTGGATTTTTTTGATTACTGATTCATTTCATTGCTAGTAATTGGTCTGTTCAAGTTTTCTATTACTTATTGTTTCAGTTTTTGTAATTTATATTGTTTCTAGGAATTTATCCATTTCTTACAGGCTGTCTCAAATTGTTGGCATATAGTTTTTCATATTTGTATTTCATATTCTTCTACAACTGTTTGTATTTCTGTGGTGTTCGTTATTATTTCTTTTCTGTCATTTGTGATTTATTCATTTGGGTCCTTTCTCTTTTCTTTTTGATAATCTGGCTAGAGGTTTATCAGTTTTATTAGTTGTTTCAAGGAACCAACTCCTGCTTTCATTAATCTGTTCTATTGGTTTTTTTTGTTTCTATATAGTTTATTTCAAAGCAGTGAACAACTTTCACTATTTTTAAAAAATGAAACCACCCTCTACTAGTAAATAACTCCTGTAAAATTTCCATCTATTAATATTTATCTTTATAACTGAGGCTTTTTAAAAACAGCTTTTTTTAATGTTTATTTATTTTTGAGAGAGAGACAGAGACAGAGAGAGACAGAGAGCAAGCCGAGGAGGAGCAGAGAGAGAGGGAGACACAGAATCCAAAACAGGCTCCAGGTTCTGAGCTGTCAGCACAGTTCCTGACGTGGGGCTTAAACTCATGAACCATGAGACTATAACCTGAGCTGAGGTTGGATGCTTAACCGACTGAGCCACCCAGGCACCCCTAGAAACTTAGCTTTAATGAGTCATAATTTTAATGTGAAAATATGAGATATTATTACCTAAGCTTGCTCAGTAACAGTAAAGAGTTTAACTTTAATGTATTTGAATAATTAGCCATCTTGATTCTTCAACCTGGCAGACAGATATAATTGCCTCTGATTTCTTACAGAAAATAAAATGTATGCTAACTTCTAAATATGGACCAATATGCTAACTTCTATATGGACCAATAAGGAAGTAGAAATGAAGATATCAAACTAAGAGTTATATCATTTTTTGGTCTTTATTAAGGTAACAAAAAGGAGATTGGGTCTTAAAAGGAGTTCCTTTAGATGAAATTGCCCTTCATTATGTTGCTTATCTTTTATGTCACAAACTTCTTAAAGTCCTTGACCATGTCATCTATTTTAATAATTTTCTTTCCTATGGTAATATGTATGAGAGTGTGATTTAGTAAATGAACGAAAATGAGAAAAAAAATCAAGTAAGAGTATAATTTATAGAGAAAGATCTATCTTTATAAAATTAGAGAAAATGTAGGGCCTGAAACATGCACTAGTCTATGTGTATAGCAAGAATTTCTTGAAATGTGAATTTTACTTTTTTCAAAAAATTCCTCTGTTAGGTTTTTCTTGTTCGAAAGAAGACTGGTCCTGATGCTGGGCAGCTCTATGCAATGAAGGTGTTAAAAAAAGCTTCTTTAAAAGGTAGAAGATGAGAAAGTTTAATAAAATAGAATTTGATAAATCTTGTTTTAACAAATATGCTGTGTATTGCTTGTAAAAATTGAGTAGATTCAGTTTTCTTTAAACGTTAGTAATTGTTACAGTTTTCTAGCCTGTAAGTGATATTTCTAGGTTTGATATTGGCATATACTATAATTTAGTGAGAGTATACCCTGGTAAAAATTTAATGGTATAAAAGTGACACATTTTATTTTACTTAAAATGTACTTGTTTTATTAAGCTATATTATTTTATTTCAAGTTTCTTAATTTTTTTTCTGTTCTATTTGTGTTGGTTTTGCATACTGAAAAAGCACAACCACTTGGATACACATATATACACCATCTTCTAGGCTGTGATAACAATAACATTGCCCAGTTTTTTTTTTAATTTTTTTAATGTTTATTTATTTCTGAGAGAGAGAGAGAGACAGAGAATGAGTGGGGGAGGGGCAGAGAGAGAGGGGGAGACACAGAATCCGAAGCAGGCTCCAGGCTCAGAGCTGTCAGCATAGAGCCCGACGCGGGGCTCAAACTCACAAACCGTGAGATCATGACCTGAGCCGAAGCCAATTGCTCAACCAACTGAGCCACCCAGGTGCCCCAACATTGCTCAGTTTTAATCAGTAAACACATTTGAACAATCGGAGACCAATACAGAATAAATGCATATTAACCAAATACCTATTTATGTCACTTTAACCCATCTCTAGATCAAAACTAAATTTGTTGGCTTTCTGATAGTATGGTAATTACTGTCTAGGAATATATAGACTGCAAATTTAGGCAAATTTAGGCACTTATAAAGTTGCATTTTATATTTTCATATTTTTGTTTGGTGAATTATTTATGAGATCTCTACTTAAATTTTATATAGAAGAGTAATATATTCTACTCTACTATAATTTTTAGTTCGAGACAGAGTTCGGACAAAGATGGAGAGGGATATACTGGTGGAAGTAAATCATCCATTTATTGTCAAATTACACTATGGTATGTAATTTTTTTAATTTATGGAATTAGAGAGTTAAGCTTTCCTTTCAAGTAATAATATAATAGGAAATAAATACTTCAAACTGATTTAATAATTCAACTATGTAAAACATATTCATCTGAAATAAGAATAAGAATTAATAACCAGCTTTGAATTGTATTTTCTGTATCTGTTGGTTAACTTGTCTAAGGTAATAAGATAGTATCTTCTGATTACCTGTCTGGTAGTATTTCTTTGCTATGCTGTACCTTTAATGATCTTAGGCTATAAAGTGTGATGATTTATTCAAAGCATTTGGTGTTTGCATGTGTTCCTCTTACATGTTGTTCATAATGAGTATATTCATTTATTTCCTACTTCTATTGGAGAGGACAATGTAGGTATATTAGTCCATTTAAGTTATTCTCTCTTATATTTGGGGGGAGAAGAATACCAGTAAGAAGCAAGTAGGTATAATGGAAAGAACATGAATTTGGAGTCTGACTGTTCTGAGTTTGAATCATGACTCCATTGATAATTTAATGCATGCATGAGATTGTGAAGTTTGGTTTTCCTGGAGAATTCAAAGGTATATACATCATTAAATCACTGATACATTCTACAATGTCACTTTAAATTTTCAAGAGATAAATTAGCAGTAGATTTAAAAAATTCTTAGGTAATTTTGAAAAATAATGCAGTAAAGTAGGTATTAAATTATTTTTATAAAAAACACTCAAGAAATGTCCACCCATTTTTCTTTTACTCCCTGTTATCTTAAATCTCTTCCTTAAATCTCTAGGGTGACATGACATTAATCAGTATATACCAATTGTGTGCAAAACACTGTATTGAATGCAGTAGGCTCTAGAGGTGAAACAATCTCTGATCTCAAAAAAAATTATATCTATGGGAACACAGACATGTAAACGAATTAACTGTACATTCCAAAGTGGAGTTAAGAGAGACATAAATAAAGAACAATGATATCTCAAAAGCAGTACCAAATAATTCTTATGCAGAAGAGGGTAAAGATGCTAAAGGAAATGTGAAAAGAGAGAAATCCTTAATAGAGGAAAGCTTAATAGAGGAGTTGGCATTTTTGTTGAGCTTGAAAGAATTAGTAGATTTTCATTAGGTAGGGAGGCAGAGTTCAGGAAGTTTGCAATTGAACACCATTGATCCATAAATCAGGAAAATTATGGTGGTAGACATTTCTGTGTAAAGCCACATGCAAAGTTGATTATGTTCTGGGAAGGCGTTTATAGCTATTTCAACACTAAATTCAATTGTGAGATAATGTTACCCAATAACATTGGACCATTTGAATAAATTCTTAATTCCTTTATAGTGTTTAATGATAAAACTCTAAATTTGTTTATCAAAATTTATACTAAGCTTGTTAAGCCTTTAAGATTGTTCTGTTACTACATTCTAATTTATAATTAGCCTTTCAGACTGAAGGGAAGCTGTATTTAATACTAGATTTTCTCAGGGGAGGAGATGTCTTTACAAGATTATCCAAAGAGGTGAGTATCTGTGAATTTTTACTATATTTTATTGAAACAAAAATCATTTTTGTTCTGATAATTAATTTTTCTATAGAAAAGTTAAATAATTATTCTGTTTGTTTCACTGTATAGTATTTAGTGGATGTGCCAGTTAATGGTATTTTCTGTCTTCCTGTCATTTAGATCCATCTCAATGTGCTACTCATTATTCCCTTAGGCACAAGATCAATATAAATAACTGGATGAAGTAGATAGGGGCAAGCCTAGGATTTTGGCTACTCAAGCTACCAAAATGCCTCTGGGAGTAGTGTTTATTTTATTCATGTTTAAAACAGGTGTATGGAGGTATAATTGACATAGAATAAATTGCACATATTACGGTACATATTTGATAAAATTTGACATTCGTATATACCTGTGAAACCATCGTCACAATCAAGATAATAAGCTTATCCGTCGTCCCCAACCATTTTCTTGTGCCCCTTTGTAATTCCTCCCTTCTGCCCCACTCCTACTGAATCTGATTTTTGTCATTGTTTGGTTTGCATTTTCTAGGATTTTATATAAATGGAATCATAGAGTATGTATTTTTTTTTTGGTCTGGCGTATTTAACTCAATAATTATTTTGAGATTTCACCATGGTGTTATATGTATCAGTGGTTCATTCATTTTTATTGCTGAGTAGTATTCCACTGTATGAATATGCCACAATTTGTTTATGCGTTAATTTATTGATGGATGTTTGGATTGTTTGCAGTTTTGGGATATTACTAATAAAACTGCTACAAACATTCATGTACAAATGAGTGTATGGACATGTTTTCATATTTATGGTTAAATACCTAGGAGTATGACTGGGCTATTTGGTAGATGTATGTTTTAACTTATTTGAAAGACACTGTCAAATTGTTTTCCAAGGTGGTATAACTTTTACACTCCCAGCAGCAACATATGAGAGTTTCAGTTGCTCCACATCCTTGCCAACCCTTGATATATGGTCAGTCTTGTTTTCATTTTGGACATAAGTGTGTGTAGTGGTACCTTATTGTGGTTTTGAATTGCATAATTCTAATGACTGATGATGTTGAGAATTTTTCAGTTCACTTATTTGACAACTGTTTATTTTCTTTGGTAAAATATCTGTTTAAATCTTTGGCCCATTTTTGAATTGAGTTGTTCTTCTGAGTTTTGAGAGTCTTTATATATTTTGGATGGTAGGTTGTTTAACATATATGTTGTTTGTAAATATTTTCTTCTGGTCTGTAGTTTATATTTTGATTCTCTTTAACAATGTCTTTCAAAAAGCAGTTCTTTTTAAAAAAGCAGAAGTTCCTAATTTTGATCAAGTCCAACTTAATTTTTTTCTTTTATGAATTTGGTGTCCTATTTAAAAAAATATTTGCCTAATCTCAGGTCACAAAGATTTTCTGTTTCCTACACAATTTGTAATTTTAGGTTTTACATTTAAGTTTATAATCCTTTAGTGTATGGTGAAGATATGTGTTGAAGTCCTTTTTTTTTTTTTTTTTTGGCATGTACATACCCCATTGTTCTAGCATTATGATTAGAAAAGTCCATGCTTTCTTCACTGAATTACCTTGCGTTTTTGTTGAAAATCAATTGATCATATTTTGTTCTGTTGATCTATTTGTCTATCTTGATTTCAATACCACGTGATTTCTTGATTACCTTTATAATATGTCTTAAAGTAAGGTAGTGCAAATCCTTGAGCTTTGCTCTTCTTTTTCAAAGTTGTTTTGCCTCTTCTGGATCCTTTGCATTTCCATATCAATTTTAAAATCAGCTCTTCACTTTCTACAAAAAAGCTTACTGTGGATTGCATTGAACCTCTAAGTCAATTTGCAAATAATTTACATTTTCATAACATTGAGTCTCCCGATCCACGAATATATTTCTTTCCAGTTTTTGAGTCTTCTTTAATTTCTCTCATCAATATCTTGTCATTTTAAGTCTATAGGTTGTCATTTTCAGTCTATAAGTCTTATGCATTTATTAATCAAATTTACCTGTTTCCTTTGAAAAATGCCATTGTAGGGGAGCCTGGTGTCTCAGTCAGTTGAGCGTCCAACTTCGACTCAGGTCATGATCTCACAACTCGTGGGTTTGAGCCCCGCGTCAGGCTCTGTGCTGACAGTTTGGAGCCTGGAGCCTGCTTCGGATTCTGTGTCTCCCTCTTTCTCTCTCCCTTCCCCACTCATATCCTGTCTCCATCTCTCTCAAAAATAAACATTAAAAAAAAATAAAAAAATAAAAAAATAAAAATGCCATTGTAAATGGAATTGCTTTCTTATTAATTTCATTTTCAAGTTGGATGGAAATACAATTGATGTTTTGCATACTGAATTTGTGTCCCACAGTTTAACTGAACTTCCTTATTACACCTAACAGCTTTTTTTTGTAGACTCCATAGAATTTTCTATTTGTAATCTGCAAATAAGGAGTTTTTACTTCTTTTCCATTATCAACATCATTTCTTTCTTTTATTTGTCTTTGCTGCACTGGCTGGACCCTCCAGTTCAGTCTTCTATTGAATTGATAAGAGCAGACACTCTTGCCTTATTTCTGGTCTTAGGGGAAAAGCATAATTTTAGCATAAGTTATAAAGTTAAGTATAGGTCTTTTTACATGTTCTTTATCAAGTAAAAGTTCCTCTCTGTTACTTGTTTGTTGTATGTTAGATTTTGTAATATTTATTTATTTTTTCTTTTTTTCCCCAAATGTTTATTTATTTATGTGGGAGCAGGGAAAGGGCAGAGAGAGAGGGAGAGAGAGAATTCCAAGCAGGCTCCATGCTGTCAGCAAAGAGCCCGATGCAGGGGTCAATCCCACGAACCATGAGATCATGACATGAGCCAAAATCAGGAACTGGATGCTCAACCAACTGAGACACCCAGGCGCCCCTGTAATATTCTTTTACTGCCATTATTGAGGTGTTATATATTTTTTCTTCTTTAATGTTTTTTTTAATTTTTTTTAATGTTTTATTTATTTTTGAGACAGAGAAAGACAGAGCATGAACGGGGGAGGGTCAGAGAGAGAGGGAGACACAGAATCTGAAGCAGGCTCCAGGCTCTGAGCTGTCAGCACAGAGCCCAAAGCGGGGCTCGAACTCACGGACCATGAGATCATGATCTGAGCCAAAGTCGGACGCTTAACCGACTGAGCCACCCAGGCGCCCCTCTTCTTTAATGTTTTAATAGGTGAATTACATTGATTGATTGTCAAATGTTGAAGCAATCTTGCCTATGGATGAACCCCCACCATGTAATCATGATGCATTATCTTTTTTGCATATTGGTGGGTGATATTTCCTAAATGCTTGTTAAGAATTTTTACATTTATTTTTATGAGGGACATTTGACTATAGATTTTGTGTATTGTTTATGCCTTGTTTTGATATCAGAGCAAATCTGGTTTCATAGAATGAGTTGGGTAGTGTTTTCTCCTGTTTTTTTAGAGAATTCAATGTTAAATTGTTATTAAAGTCTAGAAGAATTCAATGTTAAATTGTTACTAAATGATTGGTAGAATTCACCAGTGAATCTATCTGGCCTGAAGTTTTTTAATGGTAAGATGTTTTAACTACAAATTCAATTTGTTTAAGAGACTTGGAGGTATTAAGTTTATCTTTTTTTTTTTTTTTTTTTGAGTGAGCTTTGGTATCTTTGCCTTTTAAAAATTTAACCATTTTACCATTTTAGCAAATTTATCAAATTCACTGGCATGAAGTTGTTCATAATACTCCCTTATCCTTTTTATAGCAGTAGAAGCATTAATGATACTTGTATCACCATACCTGATGTTCTTATTTTGTCTCTTCTCTCTTTTTTATCTTGCTTAGCCTTGCTAGAGGTTTATCAATTTTATTTTATTTTTTCTCAACAAATCAACTGGCTTTAGGCTTCACTGATTTTCTCTATTCTATTTCATTGTTTTCCACAGTAACTTTTATTAGTTCATTTTTTTCCTGCTTACTATATATTTCACTAACTTTTCAGGTTTTTAAGATGGAAGCTGAAGTTACTAATTTGAGACCTTCCATCTTTCCTAACGTAGGTGTATACTGTTTTAACCATCTCTCTGAACAATACTTTAGCATTATCCCACATATTTTGATATGTGATGTTTTTATTTTCCTTCAGTTTCACGTACTCTCTAATTTCCTTTTTATTTTTTCTTTGACTGATGGAGTATTTAGAAGTATGTTATTTAATTTATAAATATTTTGGCATTTTCCAGATAACTTTGTATTATTGACTTCTAATTTATTTTCATTGTAGCCATAAACCATAGTTTGTATGACTTCAATTCCCTTAAATTCACTTATAATTATTTTATGCTTCAGTATATAGTATATTTTTGTAAATGTTCTGTGTATACTTAAGGAGAATGTGTATTCTGATTTCGAGTAGTGGAAGGTCCTAAATGCAATTAGATCAAGTTGGCTGATAGTGGTATTAAGTCTACTGCATTCTTAATTTTTTGCCTATATATTCTATAAATTTTTGTGATACAGAGATTGAAAACTTTGACTATAATTATATATTTATCTTTTTTCTGTTAATTTTAAATTTCTGTTAAGTTTTGGTTTATGTATTTCAAAGTTACTGAGTGTGTAAATTTTTGGGATTATCATTTCTTTTTGATAAACTGATACCTTTATTATTATGAGATGACTTATTTTAACACTGTTAATGTACTTAAAGCAATTATCCTTGCTTTTTATCCAATCTGAAAATCTATGCCTTTTAATTTTAATTTGAGTGTTATACCTGTTACATTTAATATGATTATTGATTTGGCTGTGTTTAAATCTCCAATTTTGCTGTTTATATGGGTTTTTTTGTCTCATCTGTTCTTTGTTTTTCCCTATTTTCTGACTTATTTTTAAATTGATGTACAACTTTATATTAGTGTCAGGTGTACAACTATGATTTGACACTTGTGTACACTGCAAATTGATCACCACAGTAAATCTAGTCATCATATTTCACCA